GCCGTTCGGAATCCCCGCGCCTCTGTCACGTGCCTACGCAAACACGTTCAATCGTCACTTCCGGCGCGCGCGCTCTCGCGAGAGCGGAGGCGTTGCCCCGGTAACGGGCCGGGAAGGCGGCCGCCATGGCAGGCCCGGGTCGGGGTGTCTGGGAGCGAGCCTGGCTGGTGGTGTCTCATGAAGGGCCCTGGGCAGGAGCGGCTTAAGCCTGGTGCGGTTTGAGCGCTGTCGGGTCTGAGGGAAGTGGAGTTCTGCTCCCCAGACAGGCCCTGGGCGGTTCAACCGGAGGGTTCCGCGGTCGCCTCCCCCGGAGCTTCGGCCCCGAAGAGGCGGAATATCGGCTGTTCGCTCGCAAAAAACTGCATTTCCAAAGCCTCCCAGCCCTATCGCCCCCCCCCCCCCCCGCCAGGGCTGCCCAGGACTGATGTTTTTCGCCTTTTGTACGGCTCAGGAGCGTGTGATAAGCGATGCCTTTGGCCAGAATTGTCTGCAGGGCCCTGCTGTGCTTTCTGCTGGGGTGGCCACCCTTGGGCGGTGCTGCACGCAGGAGAGGGCAGAGCACGGCAGGATTCTTTGTGAGGCCCTCAGCGTTTGAGGTGGGAGGGTTCTGTGGCTTTATGTTGAGCCTCGTAGCTCCTGCGTTAGGAACGGTAATGAATTCTGACGGGTCTCTTTTGTTAGGGGTGAATGTGCTGCGCCTTTGTTCCCGGCTTTTCTTCAGCACGGTGCTCCCACCCTTCAGTCCCTGTCAGTGTATCCAGGCACATTCAGGAACGGCTTTGTCGGCATTCCAGGTGCTCAGGCCTTGTGATTGTGGTGAAACGCTCTGGATTGATGGATTATCCAGTTTTGTAAGAATCTGGGTTTAACAAATGCATAGGCATAGTTACTTGTATGCCCGCATTTTGTAAAACGATGTTTTATGCAGCTGTATGAGAGAGAAGGCAGGAAGAAAATACTTTGTACTCATCTCTGTGGTTTCTTGCTGTATCTCGTGCTCTCACTGCATAGAGATAGAACAGGATGTGGCTTTTTTTAATTGTAGCTTTAAAATACTTTACTCCTGGCCTGCTGCACAACTTGTTTGTGTGTAGAACAGTTCTGATATTAAAAGAACAGACCTTAAGCTAGAAGTTTAACCTTACACTGTGAGTTAAACATTGTGTAATCTGTCCTGTTCCCAAACTCGTGGTAGCTCCTGTGTCATCATATTGGGTCAGGGGAGTTCATGGGTGCTGCTGTTTTGATTGCCAGCCATTAAATTCCTTCAGCTGAACTTCCCTGGATCATAAACTGTCTTTAATTGTAGGGATTGGGCTGGAGAGCACTGAGTTATTCCTGTGGATCTTCGTATGCTCCACACAAAATTTAACAGCTGGTTTTGCTCATGTTTCTGGCTGTGAACTCTTTAATGTGATACCAGCCACGCACGATTAAGCTGCAAGAGAAATTAGTTTGAAAAGATTGTGAAATGAGAGTGTGGGATAACCTTAGGGGAGAAAAAATATTTAGAACTCCTCATAAATACGTGGAATACCCTGTTGTTGTTATTTCCTGTAAATACATCTTTCCTACATGGAAGAAGAACATCAATAGTGTATCAAAGGAGATGATTTTGCCGTGGTTCAGTGCTGCTGATAGAAGCAGTGTCATCTGCTGAGAGAGGGGAGCTGGGAGGTGGCCAGCCCGAGGCAGGAGTGGGCTGTGAGTCAGCAGGTGCCCGTGTCCAACAGCAAACATGAGTCAGCTCCTGGAGGCTGCTCCTCTGCACCAGTGACCTCACCTGACCAGAGCTGCAGGCTGCCTTCAGCATTGCTGGCCTTCTAAAAACAGAACAGAGGAAATGGGTTGTAAGTTTAGAGGGAAAAATATATTCCTTGTTGTGGAGGTTTGGTGAAGCTGCAGCACCTGTTGGGATGAAGACATGATAAATAAAGGTGTTGGTCTCACACTGGGTTGTCATCGTGGTGTTTGTCTGTCTAGGATAAACCCTGAGTTTATAAAACCAGAGTTTGGAGAGGAAGAGATTTCAGAACTGCGTGTGAGCAGCACAGAGAATTGTGTGACAGCCCCTCACCAGCCTGTCCCTGCCAGCCCTGCCAGGAAGAACCAGCCCATCTCCACTTCTCACTCATTCCTGGGTTTTAAGATCTTGGATAAACTATTTTTCATTTAAAAAAAAACAAAAAAAAACCCATAAATCCAATGTACAAAATAAAAACCTTATGAAAGATGATCCTTAACCACACCAGAGACCCCAGCAAGGGGAACACTGGTGCTGTGCAGAAGTGCAAAGTGAATAATGGCCATGCTTGTTCAGAGGCTGCCCAGGCAGGATCTCCCTTCCCAGATGAAATCCAGATGCTGCCAGAGGAGCAGGAATCTTCAGGAGTGGGACAAAAGAGCCACGAGGGCCATCTGTGAAACTCTGGTGGTTGCCATAAAAGTTATTTTCCCCTGTTCAGATAGGGGCGGGTTGAGTTGCCATTCTGAGTTGTGTTTCTGAGTCTTTTGTTTGTCCCCCAAATTATTTGATTTCTTTTAATCCTGATAGTCCAGTTTCAGTCTCCGTTGGGGAACAACAACACAGCTTTGCACCTTGACCCTCCAAATCCTCTGCTCCCCATTTCTCACACAGTTTATTCCAGTGGGACACATGGCCATGGCACCTTGAAATCATTCCACACCCATTTCTCAATAAAAAGAATAAAATGTGTGCTGGATTGATGCCAAAAGATCCAGAATGTTGCAAGAGGTAGCCAGACCCTCTTGGGACTGCTGGGAATATCAAAGCCAGAGTTCATCCTGAACAGAAGGGGGAAATCATTCCAGCAGTCAGGTTCCTGGGATGGCTGCCTTCCTCTGATCATGGCAAAAGTGTTTTTGAAACACACACAACCTGTCAAGTCCTGGAGATTAAATCCAAGGATAAAGTAGAGAGAGTTGGAACTACAAAACAAGGCTTGGACAGAACAGGGAGAAGTTAAAGGTCATGAAAAAAACTCCTGTGTGGATAGTATTTTCATTTTATTCTGAGTTAGACATTTTCTCTATTTTTCTTTTCTTCCATTACAGGGTTAGAATAGGACACTGGGAGATTGGGAGGAAAATTAGGAAAAAAGAAAAATCTCTGTCTTTCTAAGTGAATTTAGTAGGCAGTATCTCTGGCTTCTGCCCCTGAGCAAGCCAGAGCACTGGCAGGTATTCCAACAACCTGTGGTTCTCTGCAGCAGCTGGAATTGTTTGGGAGTGTCTGCATTGCAGCGTGCCAGGAGATGTGTGGGTTTGGGAGGATTCCTTGCTCCCTCCCAAGTGTGTGCTGTAAAAGCACAGAAGCATTGGCCCCTGGCAATAGCCACAAATGGAAATTATAGAAATTACAGAAAACAGATAGAAAATTCTAAGAAAAGAGGTCTTGCTGCCAAGGGTGCGGGAGAAACCCAGAGAATTCTCACTGAAATCAAAAGGCTTCATTCTGCTCTTTCTCCTCTACTTTTACAGCAGTTTCCTCCCCAAACTGCAGCTCCTTTAGTGCCTCAGTGTTGGTGCAAAAAAAAAAAAAAAAAAAAAATAAAAGAACTAATCCCATGGCTAAAAACCTGCTGGAATCCCTCCTCCCTTTGCTGTTTGCCTAAAGCTGCTGCAAGGTTTGGGGTTTGAGTTTCACAGACCCAGTCGAGCCAGACCCCCGACCTGGCCCTGCAGGTGAGGCTGCCTTGGAATGGCTGGTTGAAAAAAAAAATTTTTAAAAATCAATTATTTTGCTTAACTCTGCTTTCAGCAAGGGAAAAAACAGTTTAGCCCATCTCGAGCAGACAAGAAAGGGAGGAAGAGGAGGAAAAAAATCCTCTTTTGCCAGCGCCCGGCTGGGTGTGTCTCACCCCCCCGCCTTGGGGCTGTGTTCCTGGCAGGCAGGCTTGCCTGGGAGGGATCTGCCGTCAAAGCCACCCAGGAAAGGAGGCCTGATATGCTCATTAATATTCTGAACTAGTGACCCTTCTTTTTCTTTCCACCCCTCGCCTTTCTCTGGGCGCTCCAGCCTCTCCCCGCCGCGGATGGCTGCAGCCCCCTCCAGCTGAGTCAGTCCTGCCTCCCCGCAGCATTGCAGCACCGCAGCAGCTCCTGCGCTCCCTCCCGCTCCTGCAGCACCGCTCCGCTCCCGCCGCAGCATGGCCAGCACCGTCTCAGGTAGGACAGGCGGCTTCTCGGGGGCTTGACATCAATGCTCTTCTAAAACCATCAAGTTTTAGATATTTTTATTATTATTATTCTGAAGGTTTTGTTGATTTTTTTTCCCCCCGTGGGTTTCGGGGGAGTTCTGTACTGAGGAGGCAGCTGGTATGGCAGCATTGTTCCCCTTCCTCCCCCATACACACACCCCTCTGATGCAAGATAGCAGGTGGGCTTTTTATTTTAATATGAATACACGTGTGATAAACTTGCCAATATAAAGTATTGCTACCATTTCATTGTGCCATTAGAAGATGCTGCTACGTGCCAATTAAATATTATTTTAGTAACATCGTAGAGCTTTTTTTCCCCTAAGAAAAAAAAAATTGCACGTGGTGCAGCTGGATGTCAGGAAATCAGAAATTACATTTTGTTTTGTGAAGATCATGTGTTGCCTAAATGGGTAATGGAGAGGAAGACATAGGCAAGATTCAGTAATGCCCTAAAAAATCCCCCAAAGCCAACCAGGAGGACCTGGATGGGGTTTTGTGTTTTCTCTGAGCTTCCCAGCCCCAGATTTCTTGCACAGCTCTCATTTCTTGGCTCGAAGATGCTACAGGGGAGCGGTCCTCTGATGGCGTTGGGTGAAACGCGATGCTGCAAGGGAAGCCCTTGCTCCCTCCTGCAGCAGTAGCGGGAATCACAGCGCAGCTGCCCGGGAACCTGCTCGGGTTTGGCTTCAGGATGCCCGAGGATGCTGTGCTGCTTCGGTCCGGCTCCCTAAAGACCCGTCTTGCTCCCTTTGGGAAGGAGGGATTCAAGTGGCTGAAACTGGGAGTGTGGGTGAAGGTGAAGAAAAGCTTGAAATGGTACAATGAACAGTGGGTGGGTTTAGAGGGTCTTTTTATTTTAGAAAACCGATTTTTTTTCTTAGAATTACTCTGAATTCTGCAGCCCACAAAGAGGGGCTTGGGAGGGGGAAGCGAGATCCTGGAGGGCTGAGCAGGATCGACAGACAAAAAGGAAGAGCAGGCAGTGCTTTGTGCCCCCCAGGCAGGGAACCAGCCCTCGGGAGACCAGGCAACACTTCTTGCTTCTTTCACTGCCCTTCGCCGAGGTTTCCTGCTGTGCATTTTCTATTTCTTGCTCCTTTTAATAAGACCAGTAGATGCAGGGTGAAGAAGGAGAGAGAGAAGGAGGGGTGTGTATGTGGGGGGAGTATAAGGGCGCAGCTGATCCTGAGCGGGCTTTGCATGCAATTAAAGACATAAGGCAGCATTGTAAAAATGTGTAAATGTGTTTATGACAGAAAACCTCCAGCTATTGTACATATTCCTGCGAGTATCCCTGTCTCAATGAACGTCTGCAGCAGTGCACTCTTGGGAGGTGCCACCCATCTCCTGCCTTTCCTACCGAGCAGGATTGGACCTCGTTTGCAGAGTGGGGGTGGGAGGGAGAGCTCAGACTTACCAGCCCTCTAAACCAAGGTTGCATCGAACTTGAGATGGACGAGGTGGTGGTTGAAACACACGTAGGCAGAACATGCGATTTCCAGTTGGTGCATTCTCACCCTCCCAACCCACTGCATGCCCATAGCACATTTCTTCCTCCCAGAGAGGCAGTTTTACTGTCAAAGAGACTTAAGATCATGAAGAAGCGTGAAATGGGGCTTCCTTGTGACTCAGATCGAGCAGAGAAGCAATTTCAAGGAGTAGGAAGTCATGGGAAGCAGTGCTGTGGCAGGAGGGAAGAGAATAGGGCGCTGTGTGCCAAGGGAGGGTCGGGGCTGAGCCTCGCCCAGCTGCCTTTGCAGGAGCAGCTCCTCTTCTCCCCATCGCCTACAGCAGCACGGAGAGCAGCCTGGAAAGGCAGGAGAAAAAGAATTGGGAATCCTTCAATTAAGGAATGAGTCTTGTTTGCATTCTTCGTTCTTTCCGTCTTTATTCTCAGCAAAAGCCCATCCGTGCTGAGGGGAGAGCAGCTGCAGTCGTCTGCGGCTGATGCCCGGGGGCTTATCCCCCTCGGGAAGATTTGCTCGGTTTGTTTAAACAAACAACCAAATCCTTGGGATGAAAAGAAACAGGGCTCGCTCCCCCGAGCCTAGCTGGGCTCTCCCTCTTTTCTCCCTGTCACCTGAGGCGTTTTCTCCCGGCCCCGGGGGCTGTTTTGGGTGCAGGAGCGGCGGGATGGGCGGCACATGCTCAGTGCCGGCTCAGCTGCGGTGCCGGCCGTGCTGCCGGGCAGCCCTCGCAGGGGCAGAGCCCTCGCAGGGGCAGAGCCCTCGCAGGGGCAGAGCCCTCGCACCTCCTCCCCTTGTGCAGCAGCATCTGCACAGGGCTTTGTGCTTCTGTGCCCCCCGGGCCGGGCGCCTGGCTGGGCTCTGCAGGGCTACGGAGCTCCCTCCACAGTTTGTAGCATCTGGGTTGATTGAATAAAGAGACCTGAGATTATGAAATGATGCAGAAGGTGACATCCCCACCGGCTTTCTCCAACGCTGGCGTGTCTGAGAAGGTGGAGCCAAGAGGAAACACCAGGTTGTCATTCCTGGCCTCATGACTGGGCATGGTAAATGGGCCTTGGCAGATCCCAAGGTTTCTCCGTCCTGCACTGAAATGTGAGAGCTGAGGGATTTCATGTAGCTCTGGGTTATCCCCTGATCCCTTTTCTGGGTGCCATTGAAGGACACCATATGATATTGCCCTGTCCTGCCTTTTCTACTGCTCATGCTGGAGAGTCAGAGTCCTTTCTATCAAGCTCTCCCTCTCTCTCTGTGTTCTCAAGAAATGACCATTGTCTTTTTCTTTGCCTGTTGAAGAAGTCTATGTGGCCTTAAAAATTATGGTTCTTTTATTGGGAATTCAGTTTTACATGCCAAAAGAGCCTATTATTATAGTAATTTTTTTTTCACCAGTGTATCCAAACAAGGGATCTAAATAATTAGCAAATACTTGTTCTTTCTAAAATATAAATAACATCTTGTTTAATGGCACCATGTAGACTCTGGGAAGATGCTTCAGATATCTCAAAGGAGCCCTTTTTTGGAATGTCATGTTGGTTCAGATCTGATGAAGGCATTGTTTTATCACATGAGCACATTTTCCTTCTTTTGAGTAAAAGCTGAGATTTAGTGGTCTGATGTGGCAACCAGAAGGCTGCAGATAAACCCATTGTGACAGCAGAGGAGTGAAGGGGGCCAATGATTCTTCATGACAATCCTTGGAGGGACCCGAAGCTCACTCAAACTTCTATACCCCTAAATTAATTAGAAAAATATGCATGGATAATCCCTCCCAGTTGTCCTACTGACATGAGCTTTACTCCTCCAGATGTGAGTTATGTTTTAAAAATTAAAGTCTCCACTCCAGAGGGGAGTTAAACCAATGGGCTGTGATTTAGAAAATACAAAAGAGCCAGAGAGCAACTGAAGACCATGTGCTGTGGCCCTTTGGCACCTCCCAAATGGTGAAGAGCTGCTCAGTATATTTCCAAATAATACTTTTATTCTTTCAAGGTACCTCTACATGATTATTGCCCTACTAGAGAATCTTATCCCCTTTGAATTTGTTTATACAGATAGTACCACATATAATGGGGAAATCAAATAATCCTCAGTTAATGTGAAGGAAACCAAGATCCAAGGAGACCAAATGACTGTCTATGGTCACACAGCACATCTGTACTGACATATCACAGCACTGGGCTCTGTCTTTTACTGTCTCATGAACTGCTGGTCATGAAAGAGCTCCACAGCTCTTTCACAGCTCTTTGTCTCACCCAAACCTGACTGTGAAACCTCAAATCCACAAACACTCTGGGTCAGCTGCTTCCATGTGGTTCCTTCCTCTGCTTTAACAAGCAACACAGGCCACACTTTTCTCCTTCCAACAGTAACCCCCAGCCAGGGCTGTGCTGCACAGCTTGGGCCCTTCTCTGAGCCCATACAAGAGGAGATTTCCCTGGTTATTTTCCTGGGAGCAGCCCACATGCTCCAGTGCTATAGCTTGAGTGATTTGCTGATGCATTGGCTGGGCACAGCATGGGTTGTTGTGACATTCATGAGCTGCCAATAAAACCTGGAGGGAAGGAGGTGGGTGATTGGAAACCATTCCTGGGCAATAGTTTAGCAGATGTCTGACAGAAGGCAGGGTAAACCTCACATCTGCCTGTTCTCATGGATGTTTTCATGTGAGCCCATGGTAACTTCAGGGCCTGGATCTCATGGTGCCCCTATCCCATTAGTGTGGGCTACAACTACTGAGATGACAAAAAACCCCCAAACCCCTCAAAAAACCCTATCAACCAACCAACCAAAAAAAAAAAAAAACCAAACCTAACAAAGAAACCCCAAAACCCAAACAAAATACTCACTAGTGTTCTCTGGTTCTGTAAGGTCTGCTGCTGATTTGTTTGTGGAACCTGGGGAACAAGAAGGTGGAAGTATATTAGACCAGAGGTGTGGCCAATATTTTTATGATAGGATTCATAGCAGGGAAGAATATCTAGAGCCTGATGTACTCTCAAGGCTTGTTAGGACTCTGGTTGCTTTTATTGTGTGTGTGGCATTGCAGTCTGTGCTGGAGGTCTCAGTTCTCTGTCTCTCTGTCTTCTGTACCTTCTGTTTAAGCTTTGACTGCATTTATAATTGGCCTATTCTTATTTTTTCATGAGATAATATTCATTATGGAAGCAATTCTTACTTCTCCGAAGTTATCTTCACAAACCAAATTATTTTCTTATAATAACCTTCCTCTGACCTTGCTATCAGACAGAGCACATCCAGTCTCATCCATTTAAATTTCACATAAATTGGCCTTGCTCTGCCTCTGGTTCACTGTGACTGATGCTATGGTGGTATTGTGCCAAGATGACCTCGCTCTGTTTTGCTGGATGCCATTAAATACCACCCCAAAACCTGGCTGCAGTTTAGCTTTATGTATTTAGGAAACAGAGAACAAAATTTTAATGAATAATAGGTTTCAAGCCCCACCATCCAGGCACATCATGAGCAGGAAAATTAATCCCATTGCTCCTGCACCACACCATTGCCAGCTGTTCCTCCATCTCTGGCACCACCAGCACTTGGGGAGCAGCTGGATAATGTCTCCAGGGATTGACCTGGAGATAAACACTTTACATGGATCGATGGTGTGCACAGCACTCCTGCAAAGCAGCGAGGATATGGAAATGCAAGATGTTCCCTACAGCACTAGAGGGAGCACAGGAAAGGAGTCACTAGAGAGAGCTGGGAGCACCCTGAGCCTCCTGGTGCCTTGGTGAAGGCTCAGGACACCTCCCTTCTTCTCTTTGAAACAAGGATAAAGTGATTTTTCCCAGGCAATATATTCTATTGTAATATAATAATAATACACAGAAAAAAGTAAGATGAAAAATTGTAATAAAGATTGATTGGCTCATGGGGTGTGGGGTGGAACAAATCAAACCAGAATCAGCCTGTGCTGATTGCAGGGCATAAATGTTCAGAAAGGTTGAAGGATTGACTGCACCTTTATGGATTGTAGCTTAATCACTGCTCAAATTCCTCTAAAGCCAACAAAATGTGAGTTCACTCTATTTTACAGGATGAGACACTGATCTATTTCCTTTAACTTCTATGGTTTATTCACTTCTTGGTTTACACAACTCAGTTACTTGCAATGTTTCACCTCAGTTCTGGTATGACAGCAGTGAAATGTTATGACACAGTGATGAAGACCATATCAGAGTGAATGAATTTGCTGCTGATCCTTCTATTGCAGTGTTTGCCTTAAAAGAGAAGTAAAATGTCAGTAATTCATACCTGAATGAGCAGCCTGTCCTAATCCTCTGCCTACCAGCAAGGCAGAGTTCCTGCTGCACCTCTGAGACTGAAGAAATGCTTTGGTATCAAATCCCTGAAGACCTGAGCCAGATTAATTTATACAGAAATGAAATGTTTGCTCAGTGCAAGCTGAATTTATTTTTTACTAAGTTAACAGAAATAAAAATGCTAATAGATACTCAAGTAAAATGTTCAGCATTCCCTAATTGTTCTTAAAATATGTGCATTTGTACACTAGATCCATCCTATCTGGGCAGGAACTCCTTGGCCATGTCATATTCTGGACAGCCACGTCTTTTCCTGGTTCAAAGGTTTTGTCCACTGGTATAAATATGTCCTCAAAACCATAAATCTATTCCAGATGGGAGTGCAGATATTCTGAAACAAATTCTAGTGCTGAGGTTGGCAATCTTTTACCCCTGAGTTTTAAGCAGCTGTGATTGAGCCAAAGTCTTGCTTCAGGAGATCTCAGGTTTGATCTTCACTGACACAGGTTCCTAAATAGCGACCCAGAAGTTTTGGGTCTTCCTTTTGGTTACTGAATCAGAGAATGTACCTCTCCTCACAGGATGCCTTTTCTTGCCTTAACCTGCTAAAACAATTATTTGTCACTGAATGTGTCATGAGCACATCAGTGCTCATGGGCCATCATTGTGATGCTTCTGTGTCCCACGAGTGCAACTGCTGGCTCTGGAACACAGGGATGGGGATTTCAGGGACCCATGGAGTTTTCAGGACATGGATCAGGGGCTCCTCAGGTCATGAATGACATTGAGGGGTTGGGCTCTGTTCAGAGAAGAGAACAGAGCTGGGGAAGTGTTTGGACCTCTAGGAGTATCTGAGGGAGCTGGGGAGGCTCAGCCTGGAGGAAAGGAGGTTCAGAGGGCACCTTCTCACTCTACAACTCCCTGACAGGAGGGTGCAGCCAGGTGGGGCTCAGCCTCCTCTCCCAATTAACATGACAAGGACCGGACAAGAGGACATGGCTTTTGTCATGGGGTGCCAGGGGAGGTTTAGATTGGATATTGGGAAAATGTTTTCACCGAAATGGCTGTCAAGCCCTGATACAGGCTGCCCGGGGAAGAGGTGGAGCCACCATCCCTGGATGGATTTAGAAGCCATGTAGATGGACATCTGTGGTTTAGTGGTGGGCTTGGCTGTGCTAGGGGAACACTTGGACCTGATGATCTTGGACAGTCTTTCCAATCCGAGCAAATCTGAGACGATTCTGTGCTCCTATGATTCTACAATTTCTTCGGGAGTCTGTCCTTGTCCCTCCTCATGGCCGGCCCCGCGGAGGTGCTGAAGGGACAGCTCCGGTCCGGGTCCGGCGGAGGGGCCGCTCCTGCAGGGACAGCTCCGGTCCGGGTCCGGCGGAGGGGCCGCTCCTGCAGGGACAGCTCCGGTCCGGGCCCGGCGGAGGGGCCGCTCCTGCAGGGACAGCTCCGGTCCGGGGTCCGGCGGAGGGGCCGCTCCTGCAGGGACAGCTCCGGTCCGGGGTCCGGCGGAGGGGCCGCTCCTGCAGGGACAGCTCCGGTCCGGGCGCGCAGCCCCGGCGGCTCCGGGGTGCCGGGGGGCTCGGGCCGCTCCGCTGCCCCATCCCGCTGTTCCCCCCGGTAGAGGGGAGTGCCCGGCAGCGAGGGCTGCTCGGAACCTTCCCCCGCCGGTCCCCGGGGCCGCGGCAGCTCCAGCCCCGTTAATTGCATCTGACGGCTGGCGCCGGGGTGCAGCTGCAGGCGGCGGGGCGGGGGAAAGACACAGAGCGCTCCCAGCTCTCACCACAGCCCAGGGTCTTTTGTCCTTTTGCTCCTCTTCATTTTAATTGACAGAAAGGGACGGTCAGTTTGTTCTGCAGAAGGGGAAGCAGGACAGGGGAGATCCCGATGGAATGGACTCAGCTGTGAAATCACCACGGCAAACCTGCTGGAAGGCAGGGAATGCAGCATGGACTCGTCTGCACACAGTGCCACTACTGAAGCCCAAGTTATGAAATACAAAGCACTGTGCTCTGTAACAAGTGCTGTCAGGCAATTAAATTGAATTAAATGAGGAGGCCAAGGGTGTGGCACATCTGCCTCATGCCTTGGTTTCACCCAGGACCAGACATAATGGTGGGGCAACGACCTTGTTGACTGGTTTGTTTGTATTAAATGGTAATGTCTAAACGATAATAAATGATAATGTCTCTCATCTATTCCCAGGGATGCTCCTCAGGGCTCTTGGCAGCACATTAGAAGATGCATTAGCTTCCTGATCCATGCCATGACTTTGGGCCTCTCAGATGCTCTCCAGAGGTTTTTTTCATTAAGAACAAAATCAAAGATGTCCAGCTGCCACTGCTGGTGTAAACTCTTCCTATTTGGTTTACATTTAACAGCAGGACTGGGCAGGAGGTTCAAATCAGAATGGGGAGCAGGCTAAAAAAGTGTTCAGTCAAGATCTGAGCTTCGGGGATGGTGGTTTAGCAAGAGAAGATGTTAGTTTAGGGTGAAGTTCTGTACCTAGGAGGAAAAAAAAGTGCAAGCATGAAGCAGGCATATGTTTTCCCACTCAATTAGCTGTGGGAAGACAGAGGAGAATACCTGAAAGATATTCCTAAGGGCATGTCATACACACGATGTTACTTTTTTTCAGAATTGTTCTGTGTCTAATGCCTCTTCAGAACACAAAATTCTGGGGATTTCCCTGTCCTGGCCCAGGGGAGGGTCTTGCTCTGAAGGTGGCACTGGAAGCTGAGTTGCAGAGTCTCCTCTGGCTGGAGCATGAAATGAGCTCGGTACAGAGGGGACAAACCAAGGCCAGAAGCACCAGGATATGTGGGAAATCCAGAGGCAGGGCCAAGGCAGGACAGCAGAATGCCTGTGCCTGTGGCAGAGGCAGGAAGAAGGGCAGCACAGGTTTGTCAGGACATGCAGCCATGATGACACTGTCCTCTTGAGCCTAGGTGTCACCCAAGGAGCCAGCCCACGTCCTCACAGGACCCATGAGGCAGCAGCACCCACTGCTGAGCCCCAGATGCTGACCTGCCACATAGGAGTGATGCTGTGAGGGTTTCATTGATGTGATAAAGAACATGACAGCCTGACAGAGCACCTCACTGACTTCAACTCCTATTCTGAGGTTCTTTGTCAGCAGTGTGCAAATAGTTCACTGTCTTAAATGTGCTGAACTCCAAAAATACAGGAAAAGATTGCCCCAGAATCAGATGGCTGCAATCTGTGTTGGGGCAGCACTTGTGATCACTGAGGGTGCTGTGGTGCATCCTCCAGTCACAGGAACAATGAGCAATCTGGAGGGCTCACAGCAGCAGAGCTCGAAAGGATTGTCTGTTTCCTGTCCTTTACAGAAGGATGGTTACTGTGGTCACAGACTGTGCCTGTCTCTGTCTGGGTGGGCCAAGGTGGTGGCAGAATCCTTCCTGATCTGCTGCTGCAGGGTAGGAGGCAGCTTGTGAAGTTGGGGTCCAGCTCTTCCCCTGATAGCAGAGCCCCTGAACAGTTTCAAATACCCCTTTGTTCTCCACATTGCTGACCTCCTGTTGCCTCTTCACCCTCACTTCAGAAATGCTGAACTGTGAAATATTCCCAACTCGCCAGGGCTTGAGCAATGTTTCCAGGTGTCAGTGGGCATCATTTACCTCAGAGACTGGAAATTCCACTTCCAGTGGAGAAAGGGTGGGGCAACTGCCCCAACATGTCTAACTAAATGGGTGCAGCATCCCAGCTCCTTTGGAGGGAAAGCCTTGCACAGAAATTTATACCCCTAGATGTGTTAAATCCCTACTGTGTGTGTTCCCATAACATTTGCCACACTGGCAGCTAATTTAGGCTGCTCTAGATCAAACACTCCTTGGGGACCTTTTGGCAAGCTATGGCAGCATGGAAACATCTCCACAGAGTCTGGGAGCTGCAAATGGGATTTCCTGGCAGCATGGAAAAGCCTCCATAGAGTCTGATAGCTGCAAATGGGATACTTGCTTTATTTCTCTATGAGAAAGAGATGCTGTTGCCATTAGAATCTCTCTCATTGCTATTTAATATTTTTCAGCCTACAAGGAGAAAATGAAGGAGCTGTCTCTGCTCTCCCTCATCTGCTCCTGTTTCCACACCCAGCCCCATCCCAATACCATCTACCAGTATGGAGGTAGGTAATCTGCTCCCACAGGATCTCCAGCTGTGTTTGGATTATTCTCCCACAGGCAATGTGGGAGCTTGCCAGAGTCAGAGTCTCTCTGCTTCATGCTGGGGTGACATACAAGGTATTATTATCACAGCAATGTGACCTTTCTGTAATTATTCTATGACTTTAAATAAATTGCATTTGCATGGAGGGGATGAAGGTGATCACTAATCAAGAAATTCTGCAGGTAAAACAAAATCACCCAGATCAGGACATGGGAAAATCCTAATTCCTATGTGAGGAGCTTGATGACCTCAGGTCACTCTCTTGAACTGCACATGTTCACAGAGTGACTGTTTTTTTTCCCCACAAAGATATGGAGGTGAAGCAGCTGGATAAGAGGGCATCAGGCCAGAGCTTTGAAGTGATCCTGAAGTCCCCTTCAGATTTATCTCCTGAGAGCCCAATCCTTTCCTCCCCTCCCAAGAAGAAGGACCTGTCCCTGGAGGAGCTGCAGAGGAGGCTGGAGGCTGCAGAAGAGAGGAGGAAGGTAAGATGTCCTGTAGAAGCAGTGACTTTCCTGGTACTAATTACACCAAACCCTAAATCTCTGCAAGAATAATCTAAAACAGCTGGGAAGTGTTCTGACTTGTTCTTCCACTGTAAATTGTCAAGTGAGACATGGGAATCATGGAGTGAGGTTCTGCAGCGTGATTTAGGCAGGGAATTCAACTCCATCATCATCATCATCACAGTGTAGATGTGGCACTTGGGGACAGGGGTTAGTGGTGGGCTGGCCAGTGCTGGGGGAACTGTTGGATTCAATTATCTCAGAGGGCTTTTCCAACCTAGACAATTCTGTGATAGCAGGAAAGAGGCGTCAAAAGTATCTTCCGAGCAAGAAGATTGTGTTATGGGGTGGAGGGGTGGTTTGAGCAGAGGAGGGAGTCAGGAGGGCTCTGTGGGGAGATGGAGGCCGGCAGAGCCTCTGCAGTGGCCTCACGGCCGTGCCTCGCAGACCCAGGAGGCGCAGGTGCTGAAGCAGCTGGCGGAGAAGCGGGAACACGAGCGGGAGGTGCTGCACAAGGCGCTGGAGGAGAACAACAACTTCAGCCGCCTGGCCGAGGAGAAGCTCAACTACAAGATGGAGCTGAGCAGGGAGATCCGTGAGGCACATCTGGCTGCCTTGAGGGAGCGGCTCCGTGAGAAGGCGAGTGTGACCCCCGGGACAGGGCTGGGGGTGCTGATCCTCGGGGGAAAATGGGGTCTGGTCCCAGTGTGATGGGTGAAGGGACAGGGTGTTATCTTGGTGGTGGTTGCTGAGGAGGAGCTCTGCTCCAGAGCAGCATGAGGGGGGGTTATGTCCTTTAAGGTCAGTAGAGAACATAGCCTGGATAATCCTGAGAAGTGCGAGTCCAAAGCCACAGCATCAAGCCCACTGAGGGCTGCATAGCTGAAGGGTTTTGCAGGAGAGAGGAGCCAGGAGTGCATTCACTGGAGGTTCCATCATCTCCAGACTCCCATACATGATTCTTCACTCCTTGCAGGTGTAACCCCCTGCCCTCGAGGTGTTTTGGATGGGGAAATTGGTCTCTTTTTTTATGTCTGATGCAAATCCTATGTGCAGGAGGAAAATATTGATCACAGGAACAGGGCGTGTTAGCCCGGTGTCATTTCTCCCATCTTTGCAGGAGCTGCACGCAGCTGAAGTCCGCAGGAACAAGGAACAGCGGGAGGAGATCTCTGGATAAAGGGCTTTTCTACACATCTAGCACCTGATTCCTGTTAACAAACCAACCAGTCGACCAACCAACACATTTTATTTTGTTTGTCTAGATGCGACATTCGGTTCTCCATGCCCCCTCCCCGGTGTTTGTCCCCCAGCTACACGCTTCTCTCTGCATCCCTAATCGTCAGTGCTTGTGGGGATTCACAGATCATAGGGACCTCTAAGCAGAATAGCAACTAGTTCACATCAAATAGAGAATCAATCAGTCAATCAAACAGCTTCTTTGGAGGGTTTGTCCTTTTTTAAAAAAAATATTTCTTAAACTGATGTAAAGAAAAAAAAACCAAAAGAAGATATTAATAAATTCAACCAGCAGTGTCACAGAGATACGGATTTCTTATCGGGGCTTTTCCTCCTCTTGGTGTTTGCTCTGAGCCAAATATCAGTTTCAGAAAAATGGGAAATAAGTGATAATTTCTGTATGTGAAGTAAAATAGGAAGCAGCCCCCTGTTTGCCCATGGTAGGAGAGAGGAAGGAGAGGGATGGATGGCTCAGGAGTTGCAGTGTGCAGAGCCCCCATCTTTTGGCTGCCTCCAGAGCCAGCCCAGTTAGGCAGTGACCACAGTCCTCATCTTGGGGTGGCTTTTGAGAACCTGAGTGGAAGCAGCCGAGGGGCTCCACCCAAAGCTTGGTGCCAGGTGCCACATCGCAGCAAGTCCCTGCCACAGTGGGCACTGACTGATGGCCTGGTTGGCCACTGAGCCACCTTCTCCCCTAGCTGAGCAGGGACTGAGAGGTCTTGGCTGCTCTACCCAGGAGAGCTATGGGCTCCCCAGTGCTCCACTCTGTTAGGAAAGCAAATCCAACAGAGACAGTGCATGGCTGTGAAACAGTCTTTTAGGGAACAGAAGAATCCTTCCCTCTTTCCAGTGATGGATGTGGCTCTCTGGGGCCATCACAGGGCAGATTGCTGGACACCAAATCCTAAGGCTCTTTTCTCATCTCCACAGAACTCCCAGCTGGATGTGGGACGGATCCCTCCATGGCCATGGCTTGATGTCAGGGGACTCTGCTTCTAAAAGGAAGGGCTACCTTACTGCCAAACCCCTCCTCCTGGGCTGTGGGGAGGACAGGGCTGTTAGAAAGCTCCTGTGCTGTCAGTGACAAAAGAAAATTAGATTTAGGGCAAAGAAGGAAACTGAGGGTTGAATTTCTTAACAGTAGCTAATGATCAGTTTATAGTAGCAGCTGTCTTAGATAAGCATCTGTGTAGAGCGCGGCATCACCGCCAGCATCACCTCATCCATATAGTGACGAGAAATTTTAAAAAGTTTAAAAAAAAATTTAAAAAGTAATTTAAATGAAATGTTTGTGTGTAAGAAATGGTTGAAACTGTCAAATGTCTGTGTCCCACGTTGGTGGGATCTGAGAAGGTATCTGCGAGATATTAACCCTGTCCTACTCTCTGTGGTGCTGAGTGTTTGCTTGGTGTGTAATTCTGACCTGGAGCTTGTTGTAAATACTGTTTTTAGTACTATGATTATTATGATTATTATTATCAGAAATATTGTACTCATGAGCAAGAGTTGAAAACAAGAGAAATGGCCATTTTCACTCTCTCCTAGGGGCTCAGAAGGAGTCGGAGGCTGGGCCAGGTGAAGGCAGGGTGCAGTGGGATACTGGACCAGAGAGCAGCTGGAAAATGATGGAATTGGGAGCTGGAGGCAGCCGAGTCCTGCAGGCAGGGCGGTGAGAGCGGGGACGGCTGCTCCTCGTGCTGGGAGCATAAGGAAGGGCTGAGAGGAAGAATAGAGGTGATGCTTCAATTCTGGTACCTATAATTTAGTGTTGATCTAAACCTCCCCGTATGGAAGTTCCAGGTGGTTCCCTGCAACCCCGTGGAAGCTGGAGGACCTGTCAGGTTTAGCATGTGCTGGAACAGAGCTGTAAGAGGTTGTGCCAGTCAGGGCCATTCTCCCAAACAGCTCCTGAGTCTCCAGGCTCAATTCCTGCCTGGATCTTCCCTCTCGGTCCCTTGTCCTGCCCTGTACCCCTCTCTTCCCCCTTCCTGGAGCCCAGGTGGGTCTCGAGGGGGGATTTATTCTTGCAATAGCTTTTCCTGGCAAAAATTCCCATGGCAAGTGCAGAATGGCCTGGCAGATGGTGCTCATGCAGGTGTGAGCACTGGGAAAACAATTTTTCTCCCCTCTATCAGGTTGGTGCAGTGAGGGATGGTGGATATGGCTGGAAAACGTGTCACTGCAGGAGAAGCTGCTGCACCAGAGTAGCAGGGATGTGCAGGGAGAGTTGTGCACTGCTAATGTCAGGGAGCTGCTGCCAAGACACGTTGTGCCAAGGAACCAGCCTCACATGTGGGGCCAGAGGCTTTATGTGTCCTGGAGCCATGTTTTGCCTGGTGCAGATGGATGGAGTAGGGATGTTCAGGAGCTTGTCCAGTGCCACTGGGCACTATCAGGGAAATGTGTGACTGCTTTGGCTGCGTGGTGTTGGCTGGATGAGGGGTGTCCACCCACTGCTCCAAATCTATCGTGGCCAGGAGCTCATGCAGCATTGTGCCCAACCTGCAGCACATGGCACGGGCCAGGATCATGGCTATTCCATGCCTTTCCATATCCCTTCATGCTATTGGCTATGTGCAGCTGCATACTTCATGCCTCAAATGAGACTAATTAAATATCCTCATTAACATCCTTACTGCCCCAGCCTATGTCATTCCTGGAGCATTCCCATGTACCATGGATGTGGACACGGCATGCGACCCCCCTAGTTCTCGGGGTCACCTTCCTAATTGTGGCTTGAGATCTCCACTGATCCTTGAAGTTGTTAATGAATAGAGTTCTGAACCAATAGTTTGCAGCCCCATTTTTGCTGCAGCATGTGGACATGGGAATGTGCCTTGTAGAGGAGCATCCTCAGGGCTCCCACAGCATCCCTGCCCAGACCTCAAGTGTGGCAGCAGTGTGAGGGAGGAAAGTCAGGAGGGTGACATCATGATCTGCATGCATAGGCCTTCCAAGAGCCCCCCTGGAGAAGAGCCTTTGATTCGGGCAAGAGAGAGGAGCTGAAGCTAAATGAACTCCCAACTGGCACCAACAGCTGGGCGATGGGTGAAGCTGTAGGAAAGCCAGGAGCCTGGCCTCCAGCCCAAATTACAGCTCTGTGCCCACATTATTCCATACAGCAGAGCTCAGCTCTGCCTGTAAATAGGCACTTCCAAGGATGCTGGCCCCTCTGACTGCTTCTGGACTGAGCCTATTTCTTGTCTTATTATTTTGGAGTCATTAAAAAATCTTGCTCTAACCCAGTTGTGGGGTTCTTTTGAGTTGACCTTCCAGGGCCGGTGGGAGTTGAGGAGTTGCATGCATCCTACCTCAGAGTAGGTCGGTATTGCTGCTCCCTTTCAAATGTAAACTTCAGCTTGCTTGCTTTAGCTTAGCCCTGCGTGACTCTCTGGCCCTGGCTCTGCAATCCTGTCTTGTTCTATCCCTCCCATGGCATTCCTGTCCTCCTCGCAGTGGCTGTGCACCCGGCTGTGCACACGCGCACAGAAACGCATCCGTGGAAATGATATATGCACACACACTCTGATACCACTTGAAATGAGTCAGGGAATGGCTGTTTACGGTGCTAGAGATTTCTTATTCTCCATGCTAGGGACGAGATGACATAGCAAGACCAATAAACTCCACCTTCGTAGTCAGTTGTCTTTAAGTAAAGCAGCAGAGGGGCACTGGCCCATGCCTACGTGTGGGTGCTCCGTGGTCCCCGGGATGCAGGGATGCAGGGGACAGCTGGGCATCCCTGCCCTGTGCCTCAGTTTCCCACACTCTTTGAGAAGGGGACATAGATGCTCCCTCCCCATGGGGACCGCAGGAGAGCTGATGCCTCCACATCTCTAAAGTGCTCTGAAATGGAAAGTACCAAAGTATGGAGTCAGGATACACAGCCCTGGCCCACGGCTGCAGGAGAGGGTTGGAAGATGACTGTGTGGGCACAGGGCTGAGCTGTCACCCCAGGGCTCAGCACCCCAGTTGCCCTCTGGGCAGGATATGCTCCTCCTGCCACAGCTGGGCTCACCATTCCTTGTGCTGGGCGGGGAGCTGGAGCAGTGTCATGGAAAGACTTTCCATCCCTAACAGAGCCTTGTCCGGTTCCCTTTGGTCTGCCACGTGCATTTCATTGTCAACTTGAGGTTGTTGTTGTGCAAAAGAAGTGATCATGAAAAAAAATAAAGGAAAAAAAAAGAAATAAAGTTGGTATGAAACCGTATGTGTCCATCTCTCTCCAGAAATGGGTTTAGTTCCAAGGCTTTTCTTTGTATTGTGAAAATACTAATAAACAGCATTAAACAGAAGATTGACCTAAAGATTTAACCCTAATCCTCTGAATGCTCAGTGACTGGTTTTTCACACAGCATAAAAGAGGCAGAAACTGACAGTTTATCACCATTCTCAGAGGGAGAAAGTAATAAATGCTTGAATGAGGGTCCTGCTGCCACCTCTGTGGCTGGGAGGGAGGGTGTGCAAAGTCTCTACATAGGAAGATCGAAAAAGATATAAAACAGTTACAAATACAACAAATGCAGTTCTAGAAACCACATGAGATTCTTTATTAAAAACTCCAATGCTTCCTTCATGAGCTTTTCCTGAGAAAGGATCCAGCCTGGGCTGGACAGAGGGGGAGGGAGCAGGGCTGTAGTCCTCAGGGAGATGGGACCCTTGCATGGCCAATGCTCCCAATCCCATCCCTGGAGCCAGGTACACAAAAATGTCCAAAAGCTGCAACTGAAAACAGGGAAGCTTGTAATCCACAAGGACATGTGGGGGAGGGTGCCTGGCTGCTTTCCCTGCTGCTGGGGAAATGTTCCCCCAGTCACCTTTTGGGGAGGGCTTTTGCCACCACAAGTGGTCCCCAATGTCTCTGGCCACTGTCCTCCCTGTCCTTGAGGGGGTGTTGAAATAGCAGCATCCTCCTGGGCTGTCCCACATCTTGTGATCCCACCAAAATAACCAGTGTGGGAGACTTTCCAGAGAGCTCAGCAGCACTCAGTGCACAAGGAGACAAACTGAGGGGAAGGCACGGGGGATAAATTTTAACTCTCAGGGCAGTGTTCTGTAAGAGCAGGAAGGACAGTGCCAGGACAGTGCAGGGGCCATCACGGTGGTGGCAGTGGCAAGCAGCCCATGCCTGATGCTTTTCCCACGTGTCCTCAGGACGCTGCTGCCCACACAAACAGGAATTCTATTTTTGCAACTTGACCTTCCTGATTCTGGAGATAAAGACCTGACTGCAAACGCAGCATTGCTCACTT